AACACACAAATCTTTATACTATACACTTCCACTGTGCATTCCCCTTCACATAAATAAATGACTTAACCTTGATAGAGCTATTGATTAAGTTTGCCTAGCACTTGCCATTACATTTGTTTGTGTGTGTGTGTGTGTGTGTGTGTGTGTGTGTGTGTGTGTGTGGTTACTTTTAACTTTGCAAAATTGTAGGTGTTTGCGTGGAAAGTTTCTATAGTGGATGTTGGCCTGAGATTCAATGGGTCTCTAAACAAAATGAGTGTCCACAGACATGCTTGTTAGTGTTCTACTAATCAAGTCTGCTCCATGTGCTAATTAGAACAGTCCAGGGTTGCCTCAGCGTCATGTGTATGAGGTCCGCCGCATTTCCAGATGGCCACAGGAGCATTTTCACTAAAGCTTATTCACTAAAGCTTAGTTAATGTAGCCCCATGGCCATTTTAAAAAGCAGGGGGCTTAATACACATGACGGTAAGCCATTTTAATTAAAGCAGCTGTCCAGGAACCACTCTAATTAAAATTCCTTCCCTCCCTTTCCTTGAAAAAAGGGAACAATTTTACCATGTTAAAACTTCTTTGTTGACTTGTTTTAAGAAAAACTCTAAACACTCTGGTGAGGCCACAGTTGGAGTACTGAGTCCAGTTTTGGGCTCCACAATTCAAAAAGGACGTGGAGAAGCTTGAGAGAGTGCAGAGGAGAACTAAGCGCATGATCAGAGGTCAGGAAAACAGACCTTATGATGAGAGGCTGAGAGCTATGGGACTCTTCAGCCTGGAAAAGCACAGTCTCAGGAGTGACCTGGTGGCCACCTATAAGTTTATCGGGGTACTCACCAGGATCTGGGGGAACATCTGTTCACCAGAGCACCCCAAGGGATGACAAGGTCGAACGGTCACAAACTCCTCCATGACCGTTTCAGCCTGGACATAAGGAAGAACTTCTTTACTATCTGAGCCCCCAAGGTCTGGAATAGACTGCTGCCAGAGGTGGTTCAAACACCTACTCTGAACACCTTCAAGAGACATTTGGATGTTTATCTTGCTGGGATCCTATGACCCCTGCTGACTTCCTGCCCCTGGACTTGATGATCTTCTGAGGTCTCTTCCAGCCCTAGTGTCTATGAATCTATGAATCTATAACACCCCCATGCTTTGAAGAAGAGATGTAAAATTTGGCAGGTGCAATTTTTACCATCACTGTGGAAACATGCCCATATTTGCCCAAATTAAAAGGCTTTCAGATTTGTTCCCACATCCTATAAATGAGTTCCTAGACTTCAGCAGTAAAATCTCCAAGGAGTCCTTCCATGCTGGGCATGCTTCAGCCCCTCACAGCTGCTACAAGCGATCAGCAAATGCCTGAGCAGTTCATGAAAAGAAACTAAGATTGAGAGTTTGGTGAGGGAAAAAACCCATACTGTCTGAGTAAGAAGGCTGGGGCTGGGAACTAGGGTTGAAATTGAGGAGGAGTCTAGGACCAAGTTGCATAAGGACAGGCTAAGATCAGATAAGAAGCAAAACAGGGAGAGGGGAGACCTGGACTGATCATTCATATGGGGTGAATAGATAATGTAAGGGCACCCAATTCATCCCCTGAGCACAGTCCATGCAGTGCATCGAATGAGGCAAGTGTCCCTTGGGGAAAAAAATAGAATGCAAACATGTAATTAAACACTGTGTCAAAATGCTCATACACTAAGAGGTCAAACAAAGGTTGCATTAATGGAAAGAGAGGTGGATGCCTATATCCCTATTCACAACAAAAAAATGATAGTCAGCATTAACCTCTGTTTGATGCCAATGAAAACTACAGATGCATAGCACCTCTAAAATTCAAATGTATACTATACATATAAGTATACATGCAATTTTAGAATGTTTTTATTAGCCTTTAGGCCATTTTTATAAGGCCTGAATATTTCTTCTGCTTTTATACATCTACTCAAACCTAAGAAAGGCATTTATAAACATCTTCATTGAAAATCTATGTGGACAGACTGCCTGAGACCTCTTACCTATTTCTGGGTTCTTGATGCTGCCTTTTAATGTGCAGTCCTCGGCCATTTGTACTCAAAGACATGAGCAACTTCCACTTGATGGCTCTGTCATCCTTGCTTCAGTCAGAGTCCTTTTGCTAGTTTATAACATCAATCGTTCGGCCTATAAATCTTTGCAGTGGATATGGCCATTTAAAATCTCCACCTGCACAAACAACAATCAGGCACAGAAAATAAGAAAGCTCATAAATCTGTATTCTGGTGATTAGTAATTTTTGGATCTGTAACCAGGGAGTTACAAAGAAAGAAACCCCAATTCATTAATTAGGGCTGATATGCTGACAATTTGTTTAGTTTATAGCACAGGGAAAACACAAACAGGGCACAGTTAACATAACATGACGTTAGAGGTTAGCGAATTCCCAACAGAGCCCAGAGCCGGGAGATAGGGTATCTTAATGTACTTATCCTATTGTGAGTGGGGGTGTGTTATCTTGCAGTAGAATGGCAAGAGTTGGTTTAAAGTTTTAGGTCAGTACTGCTTCTCTTGGCTTATTTAATTCAGAGAAAACGCAGATGGATAAACAGGTAAGAGAGATGGTCATTGCTTATCATGATCTGTATCTACACCTTGCTCCTCTGCAGCAATTTTCATCTGAAGATTTCATAGTACTTTGCAAACATTTACTAGCTGAGAATAGTATCCTTGTGAAGTAGTTTGTGGTGTTTTTACTACATACATTAGGGTTGTTGGCTGTAGTCGTGTTGGTCTAAGAACATAGGCAGACAAGGTTCTTTGGGTAAATGTAATATTAGACCAGCTAAATAGTTGGAAAAATTGGTCTTTGCAAGCTTTTGGGCACAACAACCTTCTTCAGGCATATCAAGAGTCTGGTGAATTGTGTGCTTTCCTGTGTAGAATAGAAGCCAAAATGTGCTGTTGAGTTTGGCTTCTTTCTTTTTCATGTTGTGAAGTTTCCATTTCAAATGGCAAAATTCGATATCTTCCCTACCTTAGGGTTGTTGGTTGTAGCCATGTTGGTCTAAGGACATGGGTGGCAAGGTTCTTTGGGTAAATGTGATATCTTTTATTAAACCAACTACATACAGGAGGACTGATGCAATGCTCACAGAAATCAATGAGAGGCTTTCCAAAGGCTGGTTTGATTTGATCCTGCATGTTTCAGTTGTGTCTTGCCTAAATATTTAAACAAGTCTCCTGAGTAATTGCCTTCCCTTGAGACCAAATCATGTATTCTGGAGTCACACCAGGGCTGTCTCTACATGTGGATCTACTTCCTGAAACAGCCTTGTTCTCTCCTCCCACACATGTACCCAACCCAGTCTGCAGAGACTTTGTTGGGTCCAAGATCTGTGAGTGGAGAGGGAACAAGATAGGGAAGGAAATGTAGCAGGCTGCATGTACTCTTCTCCCTATATTGGGTCCAGGGAGGAGTTCAACTATTGGCTTCAAAGAGAAAAGAATTAAGCCAAAACCAATTCTTTTTGAAAAGCCTATTAAAGATTCATTAAAAAATAAAATCTTTACCTGGGTCTTAAACTACAGGGTTATGTTAACACATTCAGATGATCAGTGCTAAGCACTCCTTAAAATCCCTGGTAAAACTCTCTTTGACTTCAACAGGATGAAGCTAAAGCTGCTTACTTTTGAAATTCCCTACCCTGTGGACCTCCCCATGCCCAGGAAAAACTCCCTCGTCTTAGGTTTTGCATTACTCCAGCTATGTACAACTAGCATCTACTACTTAACGTGAATGAAAAACACGGCATGCTCTTTAAAAGAAATATATGTAATTAAATGGATGTTTTATTTCAAAGCAGTTTACCATTCTTGTAATACTGGTAACACCATGGCCCTTTTATTCTGCCTACATACAAGTGCATGTTTATTCCAGTGTTGTTAAAAGCAGTCTGACCTGAATACAAAAAGCTTTGCCTGTCTATAGGAAGAATGCCACTGAGCTTTGCAGGGTGGGTTGACTTAAGATGCACCCTAGAAATCACTACAGAGCATCTTCACAGACGGCATTTTTACAGACAGTCTCTTTTCTACCTTGAATCACTCCCACTATAGTGTCTCCTCTACTTACCTTTGACGTTTTTGCCGCTGCTTTTTTTTCCCTCCCTCCCTTCCCTGCTTTACCTTTTGTCTTTCTAATTTCTACCTACAGACATTCTCATTGACATCCTGCCACACTTTTGGCTTCTCTCATTCCTTGGAGTCTCAGAACAGCAGAGACTCCCTGTGCCTGGAGAAGGGTGATTGCGCCTGAAAGCTTGCTAAAATCTTTTCTTTTTTTCCCCCAACTACTCAGTTGATCTAATAAAAGATATCACATCTATTCAAAGAACCTTGCCTACAGGGCATCTAGGAATTAGGGACACACTACAGTCCTGCCCCCTGTAGTATAAAAATATATATATTTTTGATACAGGGAAACTCAAACACTGCGAGTTTACAGAGACTTGCCACAGGTCACACAGGGAGCCTGGAAAGCCTCAGATGGCCTGGCTCCAAGCTCTGTGCTTCCAGGCCAGGACCATGCTGCTGAGTATCAGAGCTCTCTTCCTGGAAGCAGTAGTAGCCAGGCAGGATACAATCTCAGATCAGCATCCACAGACTTCTTTCAGCTGAGGCTACTGGACAGAGGCTGGAAGGGACCCTCTGGACATGAGTTGCCTGGGTGGCTCCGCTCCTGCCCCATCCTGGCTTCCCGCAGGCGTCAGTGACAAGGGTGACACTGGACTCCTGGGTCCTGGAGGAGGCAAGGGGAGGGGTGAGGGGTGTCTCAGGCAGCTGGTGGATCCCGGTGTGGTGATGCAGAGACCTGCCTCTCCCCTCCCTTCCTGCTTCCTGACCAGAAGAGCCTGGAGCTTGTGGATGTGGTGAGCAGCCAGCAGCAGTGGGCCGGGCAGGGCCCCTCCCCTGGGCTGCTGCAAGACCCGCCTCTCTATTCCCCAGATAAATTACTAGTGTCCTCATCAAATTCCTCGGCTTTCTCGCTCTCTCTTTCCCTGCCTCACTCCCGGGCCAGGAGGGGGTGGGCGGGGATCCTCTCTGAACTGCCCCAGGGCTTGGGGGGGCGCCTGCAAGCAGCTCCGGGTCTCCCCCACCCCCACCCCCCACCATGTCCACGGGCTCCCTGAGCGATGGGGAGGACCTGCAGGAGGTGGAGATGCTGGACTGCGACGGCCTGAAAATGGATTCTAGCAAAGAGTTTGGGGCGTCCACCGAGAGCAACGAGGAGGGCTCCACGTGCGAGCACGGCTCCCCCCCCAAGGGCCGGGGGGCGGCGGGCAAGAGGAAAAAGGCTCCCCCCAAGAAGAGCCCGCTGCACGGGGTGAGCCAGGAGGGCAAGCAGGTCCAGAGGAACGCGGCCAACGCCAGGGAGCGGGCCAGGATGCGCGTGCTCAGCAAGGCTTTCTCCAGGCTGAAGACCACCCTGCCCTGGGTGCCCCCGGACACCAAGCTCTCCAAGCTGGACACCTTGAGGCTGGCCTCCAGCTACATCGCGCACCTGCGGCAGATCCTGGCCAACGACAAGTACGAGAACGGGTACATCCACCCCGTCAACCTGGTGAGTGGCACCCCGGCCGCGGGGACAGGCTCCGGCACCTTCCGCAGGGGCGGGCGGCACCGGGCGCCTTCGCCACACACATTCAAACCCAGGCAGCTCCAGCTCTTGAGGGTCTGGCCGCAGTGTCGGGCTGCGGGAGACCTCAAGCAGAGCATGGCATGTCTTTGGCGCATCCACACCCCGTGCACGCCCATAATGTCGTGGTGAAGTGTGCAGCCCCTCACCCGGCCCCGGGTCTGCCAGGGGATCGCTGCTTCCAGGCGGGTCCCTAGTCCTGGGCACCAAGCTCCTGGACTCCTTGCTATGAAAGAGCACATGCAACAAAACTCTGTCTTCCAGACGACTGCTACTACTAATTATTGTTGTTGTTATTTCCTGAACTCTTTGCTATGAAGGAGCACTTACAACAAAACTCTGTCTTTGAGACTAATAATAATAATAGTAATAATAATGATTTCCTGAACTCTTTGCTCTGAAAGAGCACATGCAACAAAACTCTGTCTTCAAGACCAATAATAATAATAATAGTAATAATAGTAATAATAATAATTTCCTGGACCCTTTGCTATGAAGGAGCACATGCAACAGAACTCTGTCTTTGAGACCAAAATAATAATAATAACAATAGTAATAATAATAATTTCCTGGACCCTTTGCTATGAAAGATCACATGCAACAAAACTCTGTCTCTGAGACGACTACTACTACTACTACTAATAATAATTTCCTGAACTCCTTGCTATGAAGTAGAGCACATGCAACAAAACTCTGTCTTTGAGACCAAAATAATAATAATAATAATATTAATAACAATAGTAGTAATAATAATAGTAATAGTAGTAGTAGTAGTATAATAATTATAATAATAGTACTGGTAATAATAACAATGGTAGTAGTAATAAATCTACTACTACCCTAAATATATTAGGGAATATTAGGGATTTATATGATCTAATTTATATGATAGTTCTAATCCTATGAATTAGTATTATCCATAATAATAATAAAAAGCCAACCCATGGGTTTTCCGTTTTCCAAGATGTTAGAATCACACCATCACAGAAAGTTAGGGTTGGAGAGGACCTCAGGAGGTCATCTAGTTCAACCCCCTGCTCAAAACAGGACCATGTTGTCCAACCACATCATCCCAGCCAAGGCTTTGTCTAGCCGGGGCTTAAAGATCTCCAAGGATGGAAAGTCCTTGATACATGTTTCTGTATCAAGGTGTATTTGAAAGGGGAGGAGGGGACTTTGAATCTTAAACATAATAGGAAAGTAGGGCCAGAGGTCATCTAGTCCAGCCTCCTGCTCAAATCAGGATCATCCCTGTCCAAACCATTCCCTACGGATCTCACCTATTAGCAAAACTAGGAATTACCTAAATTAAGCACAGATTTAAAATACGTGGTCAGGGCGGGTTTACATAATGGTGTAGAAAGAGTTGGAAACACCGAAGTCTCTCTCAGATCTAAAGGCGGGCACGCTTTACTACCAAATCGCAGATCTTCAAGGGGTGGCCACTGTGTCTGGGTAGTCTCAGGGCAGGCAGGTCGAGCCATCCGAGGTCACTCTCGCACCTACGTCTTTGTGGGCGTGGGGGATCCTGATTTAATCGCAGAGGCAAACAGTTGTGACCCAGTAAGTGTTGTGGTGGCTAACACAGAGAGGGTGGTTAGCCTAACTGGAAGCCATTAGGGTTCTGGCTGATCTCTCTCTTTATTAACAGAGATTGAGAGATGATCAACAGCCGTTCCTTAGTTCTCAGCCCCATCCAAAGCAATAAGGAAGACACCAAATAAATCCTTTTTTTTCCAAGTGGTTCAATTAGCAATTAAAAAAAAAAATTAAAATGTGAGGATATGTTTGAACCCGGCATTTTATAACGGAGATTTCAATGGGATTCTTTTTCTTGACGTTTCTTCCCGGAGTCTCATGCTCCGCAGGGGTGGAGGGGGGAGTAACGGGGTGGCTGTCCTGGAGGAGATCAGGATCTCCTCCAGGACAGCCACCTCGAGTTACGTCTCCCCGGGAGGAGATCCTGATCTCTCTGGGAATAAGTCTCCCGTGGCTGGACACGGCAGACCGCTGTGCCCGCGGTCGGGGCCAGGCCGGGGACACACCGCCGCCCCCTCGCTATTGCGGGGCAAAGCCTGAGCCCGTCGGCCCGGCGGAGGCGCCCAGCGGGGGTGAAGGAGGGCAGGAGCCGGCTTGCGATCAGCATGGACGGGCTGCAGCTCTCGGCCAGAGGGCAATTGGTTTTCCTTCTCAAAGCAGAGGGCAGGCCCTGGGACACCGCCCACCCCCCCGCCACCAAATCCAGGAGACTGCCTGGGATCTGTCTCCAACTGTTAGCAATGCCAGATCTTTCGTTTCCAACAGAAATGCTGGGAGGAATAAAAACCACAGGGATACCTCCCAGGCGGGCAGACGGGAATGCCCACGGGATACAGCCCTGCGGAGCGCCGCAGGGGTGCCCCATCTCAGCCCCTTCTTACTGCTAGGCGGAGGGGTGGGGAGAGGCAGTAGGGGCTGCTTTCTCCCAGCCTGTCGAGGCTCTCATGAGACAGCTCAGGGTGATAACAGTGTTTTCTTTTTACCGCCCCCCCCACCACCCACCTCCCTTGTCTTCCTTGGCTGCAGACTTGGCCCTTTATGGTGGCGGGCAAACCGGAGAGTGAGCTGAAAGAAGTGGTGAACACAAATCGCTTGTGCGGACCTACAGCATCCTGACCACCCTCCAGCAGAGGAACCAGCCTTCAATGCGCGTGTTGGGGGCGGAGGGGGACCAGTAGGAGAAAGGTGGGGACCACCCCCCACCCCACCCAGGGACACCGCCGAGCGACCCGGAGAGCCGAGCGCATCCCACCGAGGGGACCAAATGTACCTTAGCAAAGACTCCACCCCAAAGACTCCCCCTCCCCCGGTATATTTAACTTGATTAACGTCTGTACAGTCGATCGTCCTGCAACGCAGCCTTGCTGGTTCGAGTGCCAGCGTTGTGTGCGAGATCCCTGCGGCCCCCCCCCAGCCAGCCTGCCCGCCTGCCTCTCTTTTTGTACCATACTTGTGACATATGTAGATGCCTAGAATACTGGACTTTGATAGTCGCAGCTCTAAATACGCGGTAAAGATATATGGATATATTTTCTTCAGCCGGGTCTTGCTATATTTCTGTGAATAAAACCTTCCTTTCTATATGAAAAACACAAACTCTCCCCCCACCCCAGCCGTGTCGTTTTCGTTTCCACCTCGCAGCGCTTTGCGGAAGGGCTCGGCTCTCCCGAAAGGCACCGCTTTTATGTGGGCTGAGGCGTCAGGCAACAAAACTCTTTGACCCCA